AACTCTACTGGTTGGCTTTTAGTTTCCCTGTTACTCTAGGCATCCTCCTTCTTTGCATACACGCTCCCTTCCTTTCCTTTTCTTTTTTACTTTTTTCCTTTTTCTTCTTTCATTTTTTCCACTTTTCTTTCTTATTCTTCTTTTTCTTCCTTCTTTCCTTCCTCTCTCTCCTTTTTCCTCTGTCTTCATCCCTCTCTCCTTCTTTCCCACTTTCCTTCCTTCACACCTGTAAATTACCATATCAATTTTACATATCAGAATACTTGTGTATTATCATCATCACTCTGAGTAGTGCTCTCAGGTAGAGCTGTTAAATTGCACTGAACTGGAGAACACCTAATGAGCAGTGATATTTTGTAGCGCAAAGTCTCTGGAAACTTAAAGAGGTTTGTTTGCTTTATTTTGCTTTTAGTATATAGCAATAAAGACAATTATAAACATCTGAATGAAAACCACCGTATTTCAGCTTGACATAAGGCCATTTTGTGTAGTTTTTTTTTTTTTTTAAAGGCAGAAAATTCTCCCACGGAGTCAATACTAAGTTCTACTTCAGCCTTACGGCACATAACAACCCATAACTGTTACTGAAATGAAAGAAACCTAGTACAAATTACCTTACTCTAGCATGCACTGTGTCAAAAGCTTAACAGCTAAAATAATATTGCAAACAACAGCAGGGAGAAGCAAATGTAAAAAGCAGTAATTATGTTATTATAAGATAACTATTTACAAAAACATTGAATCCTTATGTGAAATACACCTACAGAAGAACTTTTTCACTTGCTAGACTCCTCCCGAATTTGATTCACATCCCAGCAGTAATCCATCATACTGAGAAATTGTTTGTTGTGCTAATTTTATGTTTGCTAGCAGCCCAGAAATCTGAACTTCATGAAGATACAGCATAAGAGTGATAACATAAGGTTACAACGCTTCTGTAAGAAAATACCATTCCATCTTTCTGATGATAGACCTATTGTCTCTGACTTTTTAGTAGAAACATTTCCAAGGAAATTTAATAAGACACAAAGGTGAAAAGGGTTTCGAATTTTACAATTAGATTATGATTCAACTCAGTAACTTCTAACACTCGCAGTTTTTTATGTTTGCCCCTGTGGGAACCTGTTCTAATGCTAAAAAGGAAAATTAATTCATGCACTTAATTTATGTTAAAAAAAAAAAAAGTGTTTTCCTAGATCTGTATACACCACAAAAATCACCTTTTTGGCTAGCAGTCCATGAAATCTCCGAAGATTTCCTAGCAAACCATGGTACTAAAAATTATGCCATCTTCTTAATGCAGGGTATCAGTGGACAGGGCTGAAATGATTATTAATTAGCTTTTGATAAAGATGCTAAACACTTTGATGGCAGTAGAAAAGCAAGAAACTTTACCATCTCAAGAGTGTATTAGATTGTAAACACCTTGTTTCAATTAGTGAGTAGTAACATACACAGGTCATCTACATTTATTAATGAGTGTGATGATCCTGGGTACATAAACAGAGGATAACTGTGTTTCCCAGGATCCAGACACAGTTTGCAATAAAAGAGCTAAAGTTGTGGATAATTTTAATTTATAAAAAATATCTGCAAACTCTAAAAAAATGAAGTATCAGATTCCAAAGAGAACCCTCTGGCTTGTCTATTATTGTATCTCAGAAAACTATCATGCTATCCTAAAAATATCATAAAGGATTAGAAGTATGTGGAGAACTGATATTGTGTGATTAACTGGCTGAACATATGAGAAAATTCATTTAGTTTCTCAGTGTTTCTATCTTTAAAAACAGCTAAATCTTAAAACATCTTGGTGAAACAAAAAAATTCAACTTTCAAAAAAACTAAATATTTTCAGGTGAAACTATTTTGGATGCATATCAAAATCAGCCAGCAGCTTTGGTGGACTCTGCACGCACACACAAAACTTGGCAAAAACCTATTCACTGAAAGAGACTTGCCAACCCTATAGGTAAATATAAAGCAATTTATCATGCTCCTCAGGATTTACAACATACATACGTTTGTGCGTGCTTCAGATTATGGCAGAAGTTGAGAGGGTAACAGCAAAGTGTTCAGCTGTCTTTCAAGTGTCAAGTGACCCTGGACTGCATTATCTAAATGTCCGCAACTTGAATCCGGAAAAGGCTCTTCTACATGCTTCAGTATTTTCAGAAGGAACACAGCTTTGCTGCAGGCCCAAGTGAAAGCACTAGAAAATTGTAGCCATCTGTCAAGTACCGTAGAATATTTTCAAAAGAGACAGAAATGGTGTCCTAATCACAGTTCAACAGACTTGCATATTTTTAAAATAGACTGCTTACTGAATTTACTTTAAGCTAAAAGGCACAAAAATGTAAAATATAAAAAGAGGAACCTAGTATTATTGCCAGAATTGTTGTGAAGGCCCAGCTGAAAATAGTTATATGCATGCTTTTGCATACTTTCCTGTCTAACCTCCTAACGTGTTTTTTTTTCTGTTAAACCTTCCGTTTAAGATCTGTAAAGGGCCTTTGCCTTTTTTTTTTTTTTTTTTTCATATGGGATGGAACCTGGAAAGCTGATTTTTTCTTTACCTCCACCATCCCCACAAAAGGAGTAGGTTCTTTCTGCTTGCTATTTTAGTTAAAACTGGTAGTAGTTGGACAGTGCTCTTTTTGGGTTGTGCTGGATAATGTCCTAGAAACCTAAGATGTCTATTCTGAGCTCTTCTCTGTTAATTGAAGGGGAATCTTCACAAAAACACTGTCATTCTAAAATACCCACTGGTCTTCAAAACAAGCTAAAATATGAAATAAAAAGCTTCTAAGCAGTCCAATTTAAATACCCTTCCCTCGCAGTGCTTCTGCATTTCAGTGCCCTCTTTTGTCCTGCAGTCATTTACTAGCTCTCCAGCAGAGACTTGCCTTTGCTAGAAAAATTGCACATCTCTTCGAAATGGGTGTCAGGACCAGGTGTGGCTGACTTGGCAAAGCAGGTTACTTTACTGCCAACTTTCATAAAGGCTCTGCCTGTTTTTGTCTCTTAAATTTCCCATAGTTGCTATCATTCATGCATCGCTGGTAGAAATAGCCGGAACGCTGGAAATGACAAAGTGAATGACAACTCTTGGCATTTTAATGTCTATCATCTACCTCTGCACTTCTTGTACACGTGCACAGTGAAGCAGCATGCTGTTGCTAATATTATGGCCAAGCCTCTAGTACAAGGAATGCACGTTGCCTTAGATCGGCAAAGAAACCAATCATTGTCTCAGAAAAAAGTGAAATTTCAAAGAATCACGACACTGGCAACCTTTATGGTATTTCCTCATTTAAGTGCTTGATTTTACAGATTTTTGTGCTTTTTTATATTTGAGTTTGTTTTTGTCTCTTTTTTTGAGTCTCTTGCAGCATTATAAAAACAATAATTGAATGAATAACTGAAAAATGAAATTGTGTCCTAGGGCAGCATACTGACACCAGCATAATTCTTTTGCAAGGACAGAAACATAACATTCGCACAGGCCTTTGTCACTCAAGGAAATGAGTAATTATACCTCCTGACAAGTACAGTGAGATTTACGCATCTTCTGGCTCTGGAAGGCAGCAAAGCTCCTTCCCTCTCTCCTTCACAAGCCTGATCCTTTATGCATGCTCTTCTGCCTGACCTACCATCTTGTCTCCCTCCTTCTGGGCTTCTCATCCCAGTCTTGTTCCTATCCAACAAGTGCTGGTTTCTACTTTGTGGCTTGATGATAGGTATTTCTTATCTTCCACCTTGGTACTTGCTCTGCTTCCACAATTCTTCATTCAATCTCTCAACCACCTCTTAGTCAACTCTTTGTCCTTGTCTCCTTGTCCACCGAGTCCTCCTGCACCTTGGCATTTCCTCTGTTTTCATTGCTCTTCTCCTGCCCATTTTTGCTCCTTCTGCATTAGGATTAGTTGCGTTTGCAGGAAATATCCTGCTTAAGCCATGGATTTCTGAAACAGTCAGGACAGATGTCATATTTAGCAGTGAAGCCACAATAAGCCTTTATAGTACTTGCACTAAGGGTAACGGTAAACTCATACAATGTTATGAAATTTGGTCAGCTCTCATAAGAACAGCAAAAGCACATATTTGATGCAATTCTTCCTCACATGTACGTATAAATATCAAATACCCGCACTGAAATATGAAGGTATTAATGACTCGCAGAGAGAAAAAGAAAATTAAGCTGTGGGGTTTTTTTCATGTCATAAAGTATCTTTTCTTTAATTTCTGTTACAAACAGCTATTTTAGATAAAACTTGCAACAACAGTAAAAATTTATACCAACGGAAGTAACCAAGGTAGAGACGTCCAGACCAAATTTATCTGGGAAAACCACAAATAACTGAAAATAGAAGCTTCCAACTGAAATCAAGAGGAAAGCAGAGAAGGAAGTTTTATAACATCCATTTAGGAGATAATCCCACCCTAGAAAAATTTATAATCTGAATAGAGCTAGACACAGCCTGGAAAGGGAACTGCAGTAAATTGTTGCAGGTCACACCAAAGCTGACCTGAAGAGCTGAAAATATAAGCTGGGACTCCAAAGTGCCTTACGTGTAAGAAATTGAAATTGCTCAGCAGCAAAATATAAGAACCCAATTACAACATTTTCATAACATTTGTTTATTAAAACTGTTAAGGATACTGTTAAGGTGATTATATTTTGATCTGTTGCCCATAAAATACACATTTATCCATCACTTACATTTTGACAATAGCAGTGTAACGATTGCGACAAACACTGATAGCAAATAACTAAAACGTGCAGCACCACATGGCTGTATTAATTTGCTTACAACACACCCGAAGCGCAACATTACCACAGCACTTCTGGGGGTTCAATTTGCCACCACCACGCAATCATTTTTTTCGGATACTCGCTTTCCTTACGTTAAATTGCAAAAGAAAGGCAGAAGACCGCACGTGGATGACGCTTTGTCCCGATACTATAAATCTGGGTGTTTTGCTCAGCCCATTCCTGCATGTTTCTCAACAAGAAACGGAAGCACTGGGAAATTTCCTTGAACTGGGTGGAACGAGCAGCGCGGTTTCCAAGAGAGAGGCAAGGCGAGGCGACAGGGAGCACGAGGCGGGCTACCACGGCGCAGGCCGCCGCGCACCCGCGGGGTCTGACAGAGCTGAACGGCCTGGGAGCCGCCAACCACCCGTTAGGGGCTGAGGAAAAGCAGGGTTTGGAGTTTACCGGCACGTTAACTCAAAGTAACTGAGCAGCTGTCTTGCAGCGATTAACCGTAAAAGGTGTATTATGCTCCTAAAATTGCACATACTAGCCAAATGGGATTTTAAAGATAGTGTGCC